ATTTTTTTTTCTAATAAAAAAATTAATAAAAAAAAGTTTAAAATTATAAAAAATAAAACCTGATAATATTATTATAAAATAAATATTTCAATCATTTATTATATAGTATTGGTTTGAAATATATTAAATTATACCTGTTTTTAATATTTACATTAATTTAAATTTATTCACCCATTTTCCACTGCATATTTAAAAATATATCACTCATTTATAATTAAATATCAATAACACATTTCCTATTTAACAATAAACATCAATCATAATATTTTATTATAATAATATTAAATAATTAATTTTTTTTTTTTATTATTTTTAAATTATTTTTTTATTATTAAAATTTTTATTTTTTTTTTATTATTTTTAAATAATTATTTTTATTTTTTTTATTAAAAATAATACCCTCCAGCTCACTAATCAAAATACCACTCTTTTTGCAAATAATGACTTCTTTTTTTCTTTTTTTATGGTTATCTTTTTTTAATTGTTCAATAGAAAAAGATTCGGTATTTTTTGTAAATAATTTTTAATTCAAATAATTGCAATAGTTTTTTTTTATAAAAAATATTTCATCTATCTATTTGATAGTGGTTCAAAGGGTTATTTTATTTAAGAGATTGGCAAATAATTTCAGCTTCATTTAAAGGTGTCAATACATTGGATGCATTAGATCAACAAGCCGGCATCGAAAAAGAAAAGAAATATTTAGAGAATTATTATCAGCTATAAAATTGTGATTCCAATGGAAATTTAAAATATTTTATATTTAATTATTTATTTATTCACTTATTAATTTTATTGATTTTCTATTTATTATTATTTTATTTTAAGATTGCGCCTTATGTTTAAATATTAAAAAAAAATTGAAAAATCCAGACAAAAAAAAAAAATTTAAAATTTTATTTTTTTTTTATTTAAATTTTAATTTATTTCAATTTAAAAATTTTGAAATTTCCAATTTTTTTTTTTTTAAATTTATTTTTTCGTTCATATAAATCATATATTATAGCTTTAAAATTATATTATATTTTTTAAAAGTATATAGTAATAAATAAATAAATTTCAACATAATCATAAATTCTATTATATTATAGCTTTAAAATGTCACAATTTTTTAGTTTATTTTCACCATGGAATGCAGTTATTTCATTTTTTAAATTTTCAAATAATTATAAAAATAATAATAATGATACCAATAATAATAATGATAATAATAATAATAAAAATATTTTTAATCAAAAAAACAAAGATAATAATAATAATATAAATAATAATAATAATATCAATGATAATAATAATATAAACTATAACAATATTAAAAATAATACCAATATTAATAATAATAATAATAATAATAATAATAATAATAATAAACACAATATGACCAATAATAACAATAATAATACCAATACATTTCCATTAGATCCACCATTTAGACCAAACTCCACCCAATCACAAAATTCAAACAAATCTAGCTCATCATATAACTCTCCAATTTATAATAATAATAATAATAATAATAATAATACTGCAAATAATAACAACTATAATGAAATAACAAAAATTCAAAATAACACCATCTCTGGTACTGATATTAACTCCCAAGATTTCAACAATAGAGACAACCATCTCATCAATAAAACCAAAATCACTTTAACCACTACCACTACAACTACCACAACCACTACAACTCTTTCCAAAAAAAACCATTACTCAGAATCAACCATACCATCAGAAAATCAACCAATTTCCGATTCAAAATTAAAATTAAAAAGAAAATTATCTGATTTATATGATATAGAAAATTATCCAAGAGAAACAAGAGATAAAAAAAAATTAAGAACTGATTCTGATTACCAAATAGATATTCCACCAACTATGCATTCAAAAATTATTGCCACAGAAGTTAATGAAGCTAAAAAAGAAGAAACAAAAGAAAATACAAATAATAATTCTAAGATTCACAAAAATATCAAAATTTTTTTAATTAATTTCGAATCAGCAAAAATTGACGTAGTCCAACAATTAAAATCGGAAAGTCACAGTGAAAAAATTTTTGCCATTAACTTATTAGACCATTATATCTCAGATGATGGTTTATTAAAAAAATTGGCCTTTTGTCAAAAGCATAGTATTTTAGACAATTTATTGGAATTTATTTTTTCAGAAGAAAAGGAAAGTTGTACAGACCTTGCCAAAAAAAAAGCTTGCTCATTATTTTCAAAAATTATAATCAAAGAATGGTTCAATGAAGAATCATTAGAAAATATTGAAAAGTGGATTAACTCACTTTTCGCAGTTTTATTAGACCCAAATAAATCATCAATTAATAAATTAGAATGGGTTGTTAAAATATTTGGCCAGTTCGATAGAATTAAATGTGAAAATGGTTTCAATTCATTTAATAGTAGAAAGCTAATGACAATCGATAAAATTTTTAATGTTTTAATAGAGCTTCTTAAAAATCTTATTGATTCAAGAAAGAAATATTTAGATGGTCCACAAAAATCATCATATGCTTCTCTTTTAAAAGAAACTATTGACACAGTTTATTCATTTTTTGGTTTGGTTAGTGGTTCAATTCGTTCAAAAAATTTAGAAATGGTTTTAAATCTCTTTAAAAGAGTAAATTCTCCAAAATCTTTTGAACTCAAAAATTTTTTGGTTAATTTAATTCCATTTTTTGAATTTAAAGATTTGGTATTGGTTATGGAATACTTCAACTCAAGCCATAAAAATCTAGTTTCAAGTGGTAACTCTAATACTCCAATAGATGCTCAATCCATTCAATTATTTTTTTCAAATATTTTAGTAATTGTAGAAAGAATTGAAAAAAGTGAATATAATAATGAAGAATTGGATATTATTAAAAAACTAGTTGAAGAATCCATCAAATTCTCTGGAGTTCTATGTTATGATAACACTCTTAATTTTTTCGAAAAGATGTACTCCGATGTATTAAATATTGTTGACAAAAAAGAAAGATCTCTCAAGTTCATTTCAATCAAATGGTGTTTGTGCTGCCTTAAAAAATCGAATCCAAATTCAAGATTAGATTTATTTATTTCCAAATTAGAATAAACATTGCTATAATCTGTTGACTATATTGTTCTCTATTAATCATGAACTCGATGGGGATGAAATTAATAATTAAATCGTTTTATTCAATTTTTCTATAATGAATTTGATTGCGATGAAATTATTAATTAAATCCTTCACTCAATGTTTCATTTTTAAAATCCATGTAATTAAAATAGTTAACCACATCCGCTTTTGTTTTTTTCTTAAAGTTTCTAATCAAAAATTGGGTTTTTTCCATCAAACAATCAACTCAAAGTGCATCACAATAATCAGTATATCCATCTATATGAACCATAATCACACTTTTCTTTAAAATCTCACAAGCATTTAATTCGATCACCATCATATCAGTACTCTTATGCAACTACATCAACAACCACTCATTGCCATAATCCAACAGTTATAACTACACTTTACCACCATTCCATATTTATATAACTCACCAAAAAAATATTACATTAACACTTAGTTTGTAACAATTCAAATTACCATCCATCAATTATAATAATTAAATTAACAAATTACAATCAACAAAATAGTATATTTAGTTCAATTTAATTATTATCAATTCAAAGTTCTTTTTTTACAGTGTATTAAATAAAGATTAAAGATTTTTTAAATATTTTAACTTTTAATTTATTATTTTTTTTAAAAAAGAAATTAAATTATTTAAAAAAAAATATTTTATTATTTTTTATTTTATTTTTTAAAATTTCTTCATTGCGGGTATACTTCTAAAGCATAAATAAAAAGATTAAAATATATTATAATGATTATGTTTAAATAAATGATTTTTCAATTGTATCTTTTAATATATATACATGTTATTAATATATATATATATTATTTTTTTTAGTTGGTAGTTTTAAATTAATTTTTTTCAATATTTGATTGTGTTTTTCAAAATAACCCTATTTGATTTGAAAAGGCCCAATGAGGTAACTGTTATTATATTAATTCATTTTTTAATATCCAAATTTTTAATTAATTTCAAGGCGTTACCTATAGATATTTAAATTTTTAAAATATTATTTTTTTTTCAAAAATCAAAAAATTCAAAAAACCAAATAATTTTTTTTTTTTTTTTTAATTTTTTTTAAATTTTTTATTTTTTTTTATTTTATTTTTTTCAATCACAACAAATACACACATAAATAATTTTAATAATGTAAACTATAGCACATACAATCAATAATAATAACCTTAACCTTTCAGAAATATGTTTTAAACCTTTAGAGAATAAGTAAGTAAATTAATACATTATTTTAAAACAACAACAACAACAACAACAAACCCATATACATATAGAAAATGGCATCGTTGAAGAAATATAGAAAATAGAAACAGAATTACTAACATAAATTAAATTAACTTTTATTAATATTCAAAAGCCAAATTAAAACTATTAAATACCCAAACAGGATCAGCTGTCATCGATATCATGAATGAAAGGATTTGGATTATATATAGATTTGGATTATGTTTATCAAATGCACAGCCAACCTATTAAAAGATATTTTATTCAATTTACAAATAATTCAAAAAGTGTTAATGGATGTACCGTTCAGCTCTTATAGACACTAGTGTACAGTTATCATGTATGAAAAAACATTGGCAAAATAAAAGATTAGTAACTCACAAGTATTCTCATATAGATTGCTACTTATACTAGCAATGTGTCTTTAATTAAAATCAAAAAATGCAAGATATAGAATAAATCAAGCTAACCACCACAATATAATGATTTTGACGGCGTCTTAATAGCTAAAAGTGAATATTAGAGTTTGGCCAACCCGAAATCTTTTCAGTAAGATTCACAACAAACAACCATGGTAAATGAAACAATTCAAAAAGAAAGGATAGTATGACAGTAGAAATTGGGAACCTCCTTACTCAGTATAAGGAGACTTAGGTCCTAGGGCAACACAATATTTAATTAGTAAAGCACATGACACCAAACGCGGGGCATTATTTCAGAGAATACGAATTTAAAGTTAAGGCCAAACTATATATATTTCCAGTTAAACGAAATATAATTAATAAAGATGTAAATAGGTCATTTGTGCCAAAAGAGTCAAAAGATTCAAAGTTCAAATTTTAGCATACACTGGCGGCTAATATAGCAGACCTTGATCCACAATTCCCTCAAATTGCCAAAATCAAAGAACTATAATGATAATCTATTAATATTGGTAAATATAGAAGAGATGGTAGAGCTGATATATAAAAATGAAAGTTTTTGGTATAAAATTAAATTTTTCAATACCGGTTCATCTCCAAACAAATGGTCATTCTGTATTAAGAACTAAATCACTCCATTTTTCGCAAACCAGGGTTATAAACCAACTTCTCTATAAACTGTTGGCTCACCGCAATTCACAAATCATTAAAGAATTGAGTAAAAGATATAAGCTGTTTTCAGAGACAAAATAAATACCAAGAAATACAAAGTAGGTGATCAAATAATACCAAAACTACAGCATCATCAACAACAACCAAAAGCAGAACCCATTTTATATTAATTTATGTCAATAAATACTTTAGAGAATAGAAAATTTATGGTTCATTAAAAAAGGTAGAAGTTTTTGGGAAAATCAAAACATTAAGAATAAGGCTAAAATTAATCAATAAAGAAGTGCAGCTTAAAATTCTCTTATCAAAAGCAGAAACAAAATCAAAAGTCCCAAAGGTTATATTAAGGAGTTAGAAATCTGTGGTGATTCCCCTCGTTCATCTGGTTCACAATCTGCTTCAAGTGCCTCTACCATTAGGGAAAACGATCAAGTATTAAAAGTAAAATTCATTTCATTAGCAAAGCAATTATTTAAAAAGAAGAGGAGAAGAGAGAACTTTTAGAACAATTAGAATTAGCTTAAGAAGGCCTTCAATCTGAAAATCACAATATTAAATAAGAGATTACATTTCTTCAAGATAAATTCAGTAAGTAATCTTTCAACATTGGTCATGATACTTTATTTGGTAGATTAAAAGTTTCACCAAGTTCTCATACTGATAGAGGGGATAGATCCATCGGCATTGGTTTCTACATTCATTAGTTTTACATAGAAATCGATTGAAAGCATCAAAATCGAATGTTGGTAGTTCAAATGCAGGCGCTAATAGTTCACCAATCATCTCATTGAATACTTCAGAAGAAATCAATGGTGATAGAATCAAAGATATTGAACATGAATTTTAAAGTAATAGAATATCAAAAGAGAGAATTTAGCAATGGAAAAAGATTTAGAACCAAACAGTTATGAAATGATGATACAGGCTGAACAACTTAGAAAGTTAGAGTAAGAAATCTCTCAACAAAAGGTTCATTTGGAAACAGTTAGAAATGAAAATACTCAATTAAAATTGAAAACTGAAAATATCGAAGAGGAAATAAGACAAAGAATGGAAGAAAAGTTAAATCTTTTAAAAGAACAAACAAATCTTCAACCTCAAAGAATCACTCTTAAGAGATCTCAAAAATAGATGTAAATAGGTTATTGATTTAGAATTTGTTTAAGACCAATATCAAGATCGTTATGACCGTTTGAAGCGTGCCAATAAACCAGGGTGGAATGATCAAGAGACAATTTAATTCAAACAAAATTTGACGAAATGACAACATTTAAACACCAATTAAATAACGAAAATACTAAACTCAAATCAGAAATTGGAAAATAAAGAAATTACACATCCAAAGAGGCCAACATATTATTGGTTTAAATAAATAAATAAATAAATAAATAAATAAATAAATAAATAAATAAATAAATAAATAAATAAATAAATAAATAAATAAATAAATAGCAACTAATCAAGAGAGGCAATATAAATTAGCAATTGGATTTAACCCCAAACAAAAAAATAAGATAATAAAAATATTATTAACCCAAAAGTTTTTTATATTTTAAAATTTAAATGAATAATCTTTATTTAATTTGAATCCTCCTTTTGTATCTGTGAATAATTACCTGCAAATGTGAAATCTTTATCTTTATCGTTTACTTCTTCTATTATTAATTTTATTATTGCATTGGATAACTGAAGCCTTAAGCCATCTTTCAATTGTAAAACCTGTATATAATTGAAATTGTAAATCAAGTAAAACAAGTATATCACTTTTGGTTTTTTGTTGTGGTCTTCTTTATTTTATGCAAAAAAAGTTGATTGCTATAATTATTATATGGCGTCTATTTTCTATATTTCTTCAACGATGCCAGTATATGGGTTTGTTGTTGTGGTTATTGTTGTTGTTTTAAAATAATGTATTGATTTTCTTGTTCTATAAATGTTTTGAACATATTTTGGTAATGTTAAAATTGTTATTTTTGGTTTGATGTACTATATTTTACATTATTAAAATTTTAGTAAATATCAACACGTTATTCCATTTTAAAATAATATTTATTTTTAAAAATAAAATAATTTTATAAAAGATTTTTTTTTTTTTTTATTTTTATTTTTTTTTAGATCATAACAAACAAACACACACATAAATAATTTTAATAATGTAAACTATAGCACATCTAATCAATAATAATAATAATTTTAACATTACTGAAAATATGTTTAAAACATTTATAATGTAAACTATAGCACATCCAATAATAATAATAATTTTAGCATTACCGAAAATATGTTTAAAACCTTTCGAGAACAAGTAAGTAAATTAATACATTATTTTAAAACAACAACAATAACAACAAACCCATATACATATAGAAAGTGGCATCGTTGTAGAAGAAATATAGAAAATAGAAACAGAGTTACTAACATAAATTAAATTAACTTTTATTAATATCCAAAAGGAAGATTTACCAATTAGAATTATTCAATACCCTTACAGGATCAGTTGTCGTCGATATCATGAATGAAAGGATTTTAATCAATAACATAAAGATTTAGACTATGTTTATATTTTATAATTATTTTTCTCAATAAATACTTTTAGAGAATAGAAAGTTTATAGCTTATTAAAAAAGGTAGAAGTTTTTGGAAAAATCAAAACATTAAGAATAAGGCTAAAATTAATCAATAAAGAAGTGCAGCTCAAAATTTTCTTATCAAAAGCAGAAACAAAATCAAAAGTACCAAAGGTTATATTAAGGAGTTAGAATCTGTTAGTTATTCCCCTCGTTCATCTGGATCACAATCTGCTTCAAGTGCCTCTGCCATTAGGGAAAACGATCAAGTATTAAAAGTAAAATTCATTTCATTAGCAAAACAATTATTTAAAAAGAAGAGGAGAAGAGAGAACTTTTAGAACAATTAGAATTAGCTTAAGAAGGTCTTCAATCTGAAAATCACAATACTAAATCAGAGATTATAATTTTTCAAGATAAATTCAGTAAAGAATCTTTCAACACTGGTCATGATACTTTATTTGGTATATCAGAAGTTTCACTGAGTTCTCTTACTGATAGAGGGGATCCATCAGCATTGTTTTCTAAGCATGAATGCATTCATTAGTTTTACAAAGAAATCGATTAAAAGCATGAAATCGAATGTTGGTAGTTCAAATGCAGGCACTAATAGTTCACCAATCATCTCATAGAATACTTCAGAAGAAATCAATGGTAATAGAATCAAAGATATTGAACATGAATTTGAAAGTTATAGAATTGCAAAAGAGAATTTAGCAATGGAAAAAGATTTAGAAAACAAAAAGTTAATAGAAAGTCAAAGAATAGCAGTATTTTTGTTGTAGATCCAAGAAATCTCGGTGACGAGCTTCTAGCTATAAATGATGATACAGGCTGAGCAACACAGTTAGAAATGAAAATACTCAATTAAGACAAAGAATGGAAGAAAAGTTAAATCTTTAAAGAGAACAAACAAATCTTCAACCTATAAAATTTAGTACCCTCAAAGAATCTATAAATTGTTATCATCCATTGAAGGAGATATTACTGAAACCTGATTCGATGCAAACAAATAAAAATAAACTTGGGGGTTTACATAATCCGGGCACTGTAATTAATAGTTAAAAATCAACCATGCATAACTGCCACGGATGCGAACTGGGTTCAATTACATGCATAAATTATAATTTCCCGAAATGAAAGAGCTAAAATGATATTCTGTTAATAGTGGTATGCAAAATGGTCTATTTATAGAGTTAATTTAAAAAATGTGTAGAGTAATATGTTTTTTTAAAAAATTTATTCATAATTTAAATCCTGTATCATATTGGTGGCATAGAATACGTAAATTTTAGTAGCAATACATATCATGTTTCATCATGTAGTGCTGTATGTCCCATTTTATTAAGTTGTACTTAACTTTTTCTTTACCAATAAAATAATTAAAATAAATAAAATAAATAAAATAAAATAAAATTAAATAAAATAAAATAAAATAAAATAAAATAAAATAAAATAAAATAAAATAAAATAAAATAAAATAAAATAAAATATAGTTTTTAAGTTTTATTTAAATTTTTTTTAAAAATTACTGTCACTCTATCATCTTTATTGTTTTCTTTCTGTTTTTTTTACTGATGGTTAATAATTTACCATCTGTCACCTCTAACTAAATAATTATCCTAGCCCCTAAAATTTTGGTATTACCTTGTTCAAAATATGCTGATACATCCTGTAATAATTGATAAACTTATTTGAATAGATGTTTATCTTAATTCATTTGCCCTCTACCATCAATACTTTAACCTTCTGGTGAAAAGTATGGTAATTTACTTTATAAAAATATTTTAAAATAAAATAAAATTATTTATTATGCAATATTATTATTATCATTTTAATTGATTTTAAATGATTGTATTTTGTAAAATTACTTTAACATTCCCCTAACTGCATTACCACAAGATGTACCATTCCCTGTTACAACATTTGAATCACTAACGAAATTATCCTTAACTTTTCTATAAAATGTGATGAGTTAATTATGAATCGACCATAAATAAAGAAAATAAGAAGAATAAAACATTATTATAACTGAAAAAAAAAATATTCAGTTATAATAATGATTAAAGAACTGAAGGGTGTAATTTTTAAAGAATAAATATAAAATAAAAAAATAATTTATAAAAAAAAATAATAATAAATATATTGTGATTGATGTTTATTATCTAATAGGGAAAAATAGGTTTTTTTATTAAATTATAAATGAGAGAAATATAATATGCAGTGGGAAATGGGTGAAAAAATTAAAAAAATTATTTTAATTATTTAAAAAGGGTATTTTTTAATATATTTCAAAATAAAAATATCTAATAAATGAATATAATATTTCTTTTATTATAAAATGTGTAAATAAAAATAATTATTCTGATAATGTTTTATTTATATAATTTAACTATTTTTTTATTTAATTTTTATTTAAAAAAAATTAAAATAAAATATGTAATAAATATTTTTTTTTTTAAATATTTAAAAGATTACTAATTAATTTTTTTTTAATGATGCACCAACTAAAGATGAGAAAATAGAAACAACAAAAAAGAAAGAAGATAAAACAGAAAATAGAAAAAAGAAAATAAAGTTTTTTAAAATAATTGTGGAATCAAAGTTCAAAAATAAATAAAATAAATAAATAATAAAATTAAAATAAAAGTAAATTAAAAATAAATTTTCCATGTTATTTTTAACAAAAAATAATAATTATCTTTATAATTTAAAAATAATAAACTATAAATTAGTATTTGAAATTAATTAATCTTTTTTTTTTTAAATCTTTTTTTTTAATTTAGCTGGGTATTCTGGATATCATTTAAGAGAGAATTTAATGAAGTTTTTAAATAAAAATATAGAATAAATTATAATTCACAATTTAAAACTATAAAATAAAATAAAATCTATATAGCTATAAAATATAAATTATAATAATTTAATAAAACATTATATTAAACAATTGATTATTTTTTATTTTATTTTTTTTTTGTAATTTTAAAAATTTTTTAAATTTCTTTTTTTTTTTTTTTCATTTATTAAAATTAAAGCTTTCGTTCACTCACACATATTTTTTTACATCCAGCTTATATTTTTTTTTACATTAAATCATATAGTTAAATTTTTTTATTTTTACACTTTTATACATTTTATTTTATTTTAAATAATTTATTTTTTAACAAAAATGTTAAATATTTTATTATTTTGTATTTTTTTATTTATTGTTGTTAGTAGCATTTTTTATTACTATTTTGGGAAAATTTTATTCAAGAAATACAAGGGTTGCCGTTGCTCTACCACTAAAGGAGAATATTGCCAATATTGTGCCTTTGATAACGATTACTGGGGAATTCAAAATATAGAAAGCCAAAAACTAGAATATGATCATATAATAGATAGACACAGATTATATCACAGACAAAGTTCCCAACAACACACATTCATAAGGGAGCAATGTCAGGAGAGGCTACAACTATATCAATTTCAAATAAACAACAGCAAAGACTAGATCTTCCATTTCAGCAACAACTACACTCGAACACACAAAGACTTCATCTTAAAACAACATCAAGTTCTACACACACACTAGATCGGAACGTACCGATAGACACACACTACATCCAAACACACACAC